TGTACTCCCTATTAGACTATTTTACAGGAACTTCTTTTCGACAGCTCATAAAACAGGGGAAAGGGTCCTGAAAGATATTGTTGATAGGAACGTTATCCCTACAGACAAAAATCAGAAAATACAATTGACAATTTATTATAAAACCAAAAAAATGGTAAATGTACTCATGAAAAACTCTCCAGATACCCAGCAGAACGCCTTAAAGGAGACCAGCGTCGTCTATGTCTTTAATGCCCACTTGGGGACTGTAAGACCCCCCCAAAAAACTATATAAGAAACTTTCTTAAATAAATATATATATATATATATATATATATATATATATATATATATATATATATATATATATTGCACATATATATATATATTAGTATATTTTGGTAGCAGTCTTTCCTGTAGACATATATATTAAATATGACCGAAAAAGTAAGATTAATAATTCTAACACGAATTTTCTCAATCTTTCGTACATTACGCTTCACTGTTGGAGGTAAATCAAAAATCACTTCTCCAAAATTCATTTTTATTTCTAGTCTGACGCGACACGGGCGCGTTTCGTAAAACTTATTACATTTTCAAAGACTTCACAAATACACAACTGATTAGAACTTGCGTTTCCCTGATTTTATATCTACATTTGAGTGAGGTGGGAAGGGTGATGTGGCATTACATTTGAGTGAGGTGGGAAGGGTGATGTGGCATTAACACAAGACAGAACACTAGGGGATATTAATAGGGTATTAAAAGTATCAACACAAGACAGAACAGAAACAATGGGTATTGAATAGAAGTGTTTGTAGAAAGCCTATTGGTCCATATTTCTTGATGCTTCTATATTGGAGCGGAGTCTTGAGGTGGGTAGAATATAGTTGTGCAATAATTGGCTGTTGATTGCTGGTGTTGACTTCTTGATGTGTAGTGCCTCGCAAACGTCAAGCCGCCTGCTATCGCTGTATCTATCGATGATTTCTGTGTTGTTTACTAGGATTTCTCTGGCGATGGTTTGGTTATGGGAAGAGATTATATGTTCCTTAATGGAGCCCTGTTGTTTATGCATCGTTAAACGCCTAGAAAGAGATGTTGTTGTCTTGCCTATATACTGGGTTTTTTGGAGCTTACAGTCCCCAAGTGGGCATTTGAAGGCATAGACGACGTTAGTCTCTTTTAAAGCGTTCTGTTTTGTGTCTGGAGAGTTTCTCATGAGTAGGCTGGCCGTTTTTCTGGTTTTATAGTAAATCGTCAGTTGTATCCTCTGATTTTTGTCTGTAGGGATAACGTTTCTATTAACAATATCTTTCAGGACCCTTTCCTCTGTTTTATGAGCTGTGGAAAAGAAGTTCCTGTAAAATAGTCTAATAGGGGGTATAGGTGTTGTGTTAGTTGTCTCTTCGGAGGTTGCATGGCTTTTCACTTTCCTTCTTATGATGTCTTCGATGAAACCATTGGAGAAGCCGTTATTGACTAGGACCTGCCTTACCCTACAGAGAAGAACTCTGTAGGGTAAGGCAGGTCCTAGTCAATAACGGCTTCTCCAATGGTTTCATCGAAGACATAAGAAGGAAAGTGAAAAGCCATGCAACCTCCGAAGAGACAACTAACACAACACCTATACCCCCTATTAGACTATTTTACAGGAACTTCTTTTCCACAGCTCATAAAACAGAGGAAAGGGTCCTGAAAGATATTGTTAATAGAAACGTTATCCCTACAGACAAAAATCAGAGGATACAACTGACGATTTACTATAAAACCAGAAAAACGGCCAGCCTACTCATGAGAAACTCTCCAGACACAAAACAGAACGCTTTAAAAGAGACTAACGTCGTCTATGCCTTCAAATGCCCACTTGGGGACTGTAAGCTCCAAAAAACCCAGTATATAGGCAAGACAACAACATCTCTTTCTAGGCGTTTAACGATGCATAAACAACAGGGCTCCATTAAGGAACATATAATCTCTTCCCATAACCAAACCATCGCCAGAGAAATCCTAGTAAACAACACAGAAATCATCGATAGATACAGCGATAGCAGGCGGCTTGACGTTTGCGAGGCACTACACATCAAGAAGTCAACACCAGCAATCAACAGCCAATTATTGCACAACTATATTCTACCCACCTCAAGACTCCGCTCCAATATAGAAGCATCAAGAAATATGGACCAATAGGCTTTCTACAAACACTTCTATTCAATACCCATTGTTTCTGTTCTGTCTTGTGTTGATACTTTTAATACCCTATTAATATCCCCTAGTGTTCTGTCTTGTGTTAATGCCACATCACCCTTCCCACCTCACTCAAATGTAATGCCACATCACCCTTCCCACCTCACTCAAATGTAGATATAAAATCAGGGAAACGCAAGTTCTAATCAGTTGTGTATTTGTGAAGTCTTTGAAAATGTAATAAGTTTTACGAAACGCGCCCGTGTCGCGTCAGACTAGAAATAAAAATGAATTTTGGAGAAGTGATTTTTGATTTACCTCCAACAGTGAAGCGTAATGTACGAAAGATTGAGAAAATTCGTGTTAGAATTATTAATCTTACTTTTTCGGTCATATTTAATAATATATATATATATATATATATATATATATATATATATATATATATATATATATATATATATATATATATATATATATATATATATATATAAGAAAGGGCAAAGACATGGTAAATTAAACAAAATTATAATAAAATTAAAATGTCAGTATGAACTATAAATCAAATTACAGGTCCTACTGTGCAGTGTACAATTGAACAGCCGAAAGGTTGCTATATAACAGAGGCCGCAGTTCTCTTATATATAAGGATTCCATTACTCTCAAATCTGTCTGGCCATTCATACAAGTGACCAGAATTTTAAAATCAGATTCCAGCAGAGAATGATTAAACTCATAACAATTGTTTCTAATCTCCGAAAAGGCTGGTTTAGATAATGGTAATCCAGTCGTAAAAGATAATCCCCGGTGCTCAATAATATCTATCTATACAATAGTATACTATATATATGATACAATAGTATCAATAGTAGTAGGGGAGTATCTTTTAGGACTGAACACCCCTCTTTCCACTCATCTTATTTTGCTCTCTGTCACTGTCCCTCCTCTTCCCCATCATCATTCTCCTCTCTTTCCTCCTCTTTCCCTTCCCGACAACCACTCTTCCCTCCCATGCTCCCCCATCTCCCAACCCTTCCCTAACCCTCCCCCTCTCCCCTCCAACCTCGAACAGACAGACATTTATATTTATACATGAAGTCTATTATGTAACTACCCGGATGTTCTCCCCCTCTCCCTCATTTTCTCCTACTTCCCCCTCTCTCATCCCCTTTCTTTCCCACTCTCACCTCCCATTCGTCTCCCCTTTCCACCTTCCCCCTTTTTCCACCATCTCCCTCATTTCCCTCCTTCGCCTTCCTCACCTACATCTTCTCTCTCCTCCATCCTCCAACACATTGACATTTTCCTTTATTTATGAAGCCAATCCCGGCGAGAGTGGCGTCAAAACTCTACGGTCAAAACATCCCCGATTTCATTTCCTTAGTCATGAAATCGCTCAGGGGAAAAAGGGGGAGGGGAAGAGGGGAGTTTATAGGTTATATATACACAAAGAAAACACACTAACGTGATAAATACCAATGAAGATTTCAACTGGAGATCTGGGGTGACTCGAACCCGCGACCGAGAGAATCCCAGCCGCTGATGCTAACCAATGGACCACTTTGACTTGGTAAAACTAAATTAACACAACCGGATTTCTACTGAAATCTGGCTGTCTATCATTCGTAGTCTGGGCCTGCAGACTTCTTGTGATTTTAGAATAAATCCGGCTGTGTGACTTTTTGGCAAGTCAAGGTGGTCCAGTGGTTTGCGTCAGCGGCTATGATTCTCTCGGTCGCGGGTTCGAGTCACCTCAGAGCTCCAGTTGATTTTCTCATAGCTTATATATCATAAAGCGATTAATTTAGGCCTACCCCGACTAGCCTCTATCCGTCGCCAGACCATTCCGCCCTATTACATGGGATGAGACCTACCCCCCCCCCCCCTCAAGCGTCTGGCCGCCTACTATACACAGACAAACATTCTCCCTTATACTTATAGTGATGGTGCAGCTGCACTATATATATCTAAAATAAGAAAGGATTAAAACGAAACAAATCCTGGCCTTGTCGAGGCACTCTAATGTCGGCCGTGAACGGATGAAATGACACAATTAAATTATTCGTTTCCCATTTGGCCGTGATGCCATTAGAGAAAGAAAAAGGAAATAGCTGGTCTGGTTGAGGTGAATGGCTGCCTGCGAGGCGAGGCTGTCGTGTTCATGCTCACTTAACAACTCAATCACTTACGACTCAGGGCCCATGACCAGGTGGTTCAGGGTCAGCCGTCACTATCGTGGCTGGCACGACCACACCTACACTCCAACACCTGCTTCATCCCGCTACTTTTGGTCTGTAATTGCGAAGTCAATTGTTTCTGGTCTATTACTACGTAAAGGATATTTCAAACTTTTTGAACTACAGAATGTTGCAGACGACGTGTTTTTCAGTATTACGAGAGTCGAATATTGCCAGGATTCAGTGTTTTATGTGTTTTATTACATATATGTTCTTTGTCGCGGCATAGTTTCATTCACCATATGCCCCTGTTCACCTAACACTAAAAAGGTCCATGTAAATTAGATAGCGTCTACTGGCCGCATCATTAGGATGAGTGAATGTGTGTGTGTGTGTGTGTGTGTGTGTGTGTGTGTGTGTGTGTGTGTGTGTGTGTGTGTGTGTGTGTGTGTGTGTGTGTGTGTGTGTGTGTGTGACTGTGTGTGTGTGTGTGTGTGAGAGAGAGAGAGAAATATATCTTGATCAGATAAAAATGCACTTTAACCAGTTACGCCCAATTTTCTAAGGTTTACATTCAGCTTGAGTCGTATGAGAGGATTTATGGAACAATGTTGCATAATTATAACCTTTTGAAATTGCTTGGTTCTGATGAATCTTTCAGTGAACCACGTGGACCATGGTGCCACACTGAGGGCCCAGGACCCCGTGGACCATGGTGCCACACTGAGAGCCCAGGACCCCGTGGACCATGGTGCCACACTGAGGGCCCAGGACCCCGTGGACCATGGTGCCACACTGAGGGCCCAGGACCCCGTGGACCATGGTGCCACACTGAGGGCCCAGGACCCCGTGGACCATGGTGCCACACTGAGGGCCCAGGACCCCGTGGACCGTGGTGCCACACTGAGTGCCCAGGACCCCGTGGACCGTGGTGCCACATTGAGGGCCCAGGACCCCGTGGACCATGGAGCCACACTGAGGGCCCAGGACCCCGTGGACCGTGGTGCCACACAGAGGGCCCAGGACCACGTGGACCGTGGTGCCACACTGAGGGCCCAGGACCACGTGGACCATGGTGCCACACTGAGAGCCCAGGACCACGTGGACCATGGTGCCACACTGAGGGCCCAGGACCACGTGGACCATGGTGCCACACTGAGGGCCCAGGACCACGTGGACCATGGTGCCACAATGAGGGTCCAGGACCACGTGGATCATGGTGCCACACTGAGGGCCCAGGACCACGTGGACCATGGTGCCACACTGAGGGTCCAGGACCACGTGGATCATGGTGCCACAATGAGGGCCCAGGACCACGTGGACCGTGGTGCCACACTGAGGGCCCAGTACCCCGTGGACCATGGTGCCACACTGAGAGCCCAGGACCACGTGGACCATGGTGCCACACTGAGGGCCCAGAACCACGTGGACCATGGTGCAACACTGAGGGCCCAGAACCACGTAGACCGTGGTGCCACACTGAAGGCCCAGGGCCACGTGGTCCATGGTGCCACTCTGAGGGCCCAGGACCACGTGGATCATGATGCCACACTGAGGGTCCAGGACCACGTGGACCATGGTGCCACACTGAGGGTCCAGGACCACGTGGATCATGGTGCCACACTGAGGGCCCAGAACCACGTGGACCATGGTGCCACACTGAGGGTCCAGGACCACGTGGACCATGGTGCCACACTGAGGGTCCAGGACCACGTGGACCATGGTGCCACAATGAGGGTCCAGGACCACGTGGACCATGGTGCCACACTGAGGGTCCAGGACCACGTGGACCGTGGTGCCACACTGAGGGTCCAGGACCACGTGGACCATGG